GATTTCTATCAGATCTTGGGTGTGACCAAGTCTGCATCGATCCGGGACATAAAGAAGGCCTACAGAAAGCTTGCTCTGCAGCTACATCCCGACAGAAACCAAGACGACCCAAAAGCTCAAGATAAATTTGCAGACTTGGGGCAGCTTATGAGGTGCGTATAAAGCTATTGCAGTGTGTTTTCTTCACTTGGAGATGAATGATGGCATTGTAAACGTTATTTTTTAGTCAAAGAGTGTTTTATCTACACAGTTGTTCATGTATGACTGAGAACAGAAGAGCCTGAGGCACCGATACAGAAGTCTTCTGTACGTTAGCTATTTGGTTGTTGTTGGAAACGGAATCTCTACTGTGATTGGTTGACTAGACCGTGTGTCTGCCTCTGATTGGCTGCTGCCTGGCACAGCTGACTTACAGAAAAACAAGACGTGGAGCAGTGGGAGTGGATTTCTAAGCAGGTGTCTCCTGATCAAATATTCACATTGCTCCTACAAATCAAAGTGATTAGTCTCACTCTTCACTTTTTCATAGAGGAGAATGTGTTTCATCTGTTAAGTATTTACTTTTGCATAATACACATTAATTAAATTACCTTAAAGTTGATCAATAATGTCTCATCCTTTATTTTAAGATTTTCTCTCATTGTCTTTTTTATTGAATAAATACTTGTAAAGTTAAATCTGCCTATAAAGTAAACTGTTTGAAATCAGTGAACTTTAATCTTTTGGGCATTTTATAAATCTAATAATACAATAGTATATATAATCCAAACAAATCTAAACCCTGTGTTAAGGACACAAACACATACATATTATTATTATAATCCATCTGTTAATGCTCAATTCAAGTTGTCCACAATGATCATTAGTTGCAGGCCTATGTTATAAAACTTAAAAAAATAATTCCACCTCAACCAACAACATCAACAGTTATATGCTTCTTCTGCATTTAAGATAAATAATAATAAAATCTGTTGAGGGCCCATTCACTGGGCCTATCAGGGGCCCTGCCATTGTTGTGGGCGGCCTTACTTAGGGGCGGCTGTGGCTCAGTTGGTGGAGTCTGTAGAGCTGGTATAGTTGGTTTTCTCTCAACATGATGGTCGGGGGTTCGATCCCCAGCTCCCCCAGCTACAACCCCAAGTTGCTTCCACTGCTTCGACTGCAGCATATAAATGTGTATGAATGGAGTAGTTAGTATTGATGGACTCTTTACACAGCAGCCTCTACCATCAGTGTGTGAATGTGTAGGTGTGACTTGTTGTGTAAAAGCACTTTGAGTCGTCAGAAGACTAGAAAATACATTTACAAGCTCCACCATGTCTTGTAAAATAATAATAACACTGTTTTTTTAGAATAAGAAAAACAGAGCTCTGTATCATAGTGTTTTGAATGATGATGTGATGGCTGTGTTTTCTCATGTTGTTATTAGATACGCGCTGGTATGGAAAATATCTTTTGTTATCGCTCGTTCTGAGACCTTGTTTCTCTCGTAGGTTCTCTCAGATGAGGAGAAAAGAAAACAGTACGACGCATACGGAGAAGATGGACTCAAAGAGGGTCATCACGGCTCACACAACGACATTTTCTCCAGGTGAGTTTCCTGATGTTAGCGGAGGCTGTAACAGAAATGTATATTGAGATTTAGTCCCTGGGTACTTTTTGTAAGTTTCTGCACAGAGGGAGAATGACGCTGAATCTGATCGCAGTTCAAATAAGATGTGTTTGAACTTTAAAAAAAAGAATCCTCTGAGGCTCCTATGTCTCTCACGCTGCCCTCTCTCTGCAGCTTCTTTGGAGACTTTGGGTTCATGTTTGGAGGAAACAGACAGCAGCAGGACAGGAACATCCCCAGAGGAAATGACATCATACTTGACCTGGAGGTCACGCTTGAAGAGGTGTACTCTGGGAACTTTGTGGAGGTGAGGAGAAAGCATTCTTCTCTGACTTAAAATCCTGCACTAGTTGAAGATGGTTTCTAACTTAAACTCTGTCATATTATGGAAGTTGAGAAAACATATTTTCTTGAATATTTTTGTCCCTCAGGTCGTTCGTAACAAGCCCATAGCCAGAGAAGCTCCCGGAAAGAGGAAGTGTAACTGCAGGCAGGAGATGAGGACGACGCAGCTCGGACCTGGACGCTTTCAAATGACTCAGGAGATGGTCTGTGACGAGTGTCCAAATGTGAAGTAAGTCGCAGCTCTTCATAAAACTCTTTATCAGGGCCAGAAATTACAAAACAAGGAACACTCTCATCCCTGCACTCAAACGTCTGTGCAATAAAAAAAAACGGGTCACAACACAGTCTACAGATGTCATGTGCCATGCTTCAGGCCCTGTCTCTACCTAGCGTTTTTTGCTGGCATGAAGCGTTTGTGCTGAGAAGAAAAGGGCTGCACGTCCGTCCTGTCTCTATGACAACAGTCTGTTGACAACGGCAGCTGTATGACCGACACTGCTCTGTTACTTTTTACTGCATTTATTTTTATTTGAGATCGTCTATTTCCGATCAGACACGATCAGAGATTAGATCCCGATCAGACACAGAGCGAGGAGGATGAGGGTACAAGACACGATCTGTAGGCGGCAAAACTACGGGGAGTATCATAAATTTGGAAAAGTGAAAGTGACGTCAACAGCGCCTTTCTGAAAAGTTGAAAAATGTTCAACTTGAGCGCTCGGAGATGCCACACAAAATTTTTTAACGACACCTGAACTTCAAAAGGGAGGCTTTTGACTGCAGTTCTGTTTTTAACGGCCCTGAGCTAGGTGTTCCTCATACACTGACACCTGACACATGTTTGCTTTCCTACAGGCTGGTTAATGAAGAGAGAACCCTGGAGGTAGAAATCGAGCAGGGAGTGAGAGATGAGATGGAGTACCCTTTCATTGGAGAAGGTAAGTTTGTCATAAGATAAATAATAACGTGTCCTTTAAATGTCACCTGCTGTTAACATCTGTATCTGTGACCGCAGGTGAGCCTCACATCGATGGAGAACCTGGAGATCTACGATTCAGAATCAAAGTGTTAAAGTATGAATCTCTTTTCTCTCTATGTGTCTGCACTTTGTAACAAAGTATTACATGAGTGACGAGCGGTTATGTGACTTGAGACATGTTTTTGTTATTTCAGACATCCAGTGTTTGAGCGCAGAGGAGACGACCTTTACACCAACGTCACCATCTCCCTGGTGGAGGCGCTGGTCGGATTCAAGATGGAGATCGTACATTTGGACGGACATAAGGTGCCACATTTTTTTCTGAGCGCAGACTATGAAAAGTGTATTTAAAATCATCCTATTTAAAATCAAAGAGAAGCGGTGTAAACTGAACGTCTGCCTCTGACTCACAGGTTCACATAGAGAGAGATAAGGTCACCAAACCCGGCGCTCGGATGTGGAAGAAAGGAGAAGGTCTGCCAAACTTCGACAACATCAACATCAGAGGTTCCCTCATCATCACCTTTGACGTGGAGTTTCCTCAGACGCAGCTGGACGAGCAGCAGAAAGAGGGTGAGCAGGGACATCTGTCCTGATGCGATCAAATGACCATGCAGGTTACATTTTAAAGCAACAGTGCTGAGAAGCCAGAGAAGGTAGGCGGTTTTAAGGCACCCCCACATGGTCGTTTTGGACGCCCCTTGCCAGATATGAGAGCAGTTATCAGGTCAAACCAACAGGTGTTGCAGCGATGGAAGCGGGCAAGAGAACTGGTTCAGATAGAAGTGATTGTACCCGACCTAAAAAGCCTCTGCATGTTTCTAATAAGCTCCACGAGCAGAAATGTGCTCAAACTAGGATCAATATTGGAGATGCTTTTGAAAAATGGAGAGAGGTTAGAACGCAGAAAGGTTTACAGACCGATGCAGAGCTGGCTAAACTGAGGCTTCAGTGTCCACCACATGGCAACCTGAGTGAGCATCGACTCTAGAGAGGAGGGGGCGGGGGGAGACAGCTCTCTACAAAGTTTAGAATTTGGACTGCAGTAACCATTTTAAACACTAGGGGTCAGAGTTGCATATTGCTCCTTTAAGATGCTGCATCATCAGTTGTATTTGGTAAACATGTTTAAATCAGTATAAAGCTGTTAGAAGTTGAAGTTATTAACAGTCATGTTGTCGTTGCAGGTATTCGGAGCCTCCTGAAGCAGGGATCTGTACAGAAAGTTTACAATGGACTACAAGGATACTGACACAGCAGCAGACACAGCCTGGACTAAGTTATCTGATTCATCGCTCAGCAGGAGGGCCAGGGTGTATTTATTATTTTCAGATTGTTCTCAGGATGGCTCGAACCCACTTCAGCTTTTACGTTTTAATGTTCTGCAGGCCAACAGCAGCGGCACATTTAATGCAGACGTGTACAAATGGAAATGATGCCATGTTTTGTTGAACTCTCTGTGTCCCTCATTATTTAGTAACACAGCCTTTCTTTTATTTTGAAAAGCTAAAATTCATTTTCCTTCTGAGTGAAGAGGACACTCTGACTCAGTCACTACGTATGCTGAAGAACGAGCTGCTGACGACAGAAGAAGAAGTTCTTGACAAACCTTTAAACTGCGCCAGAAGAAAGAACAGACGTTTCTCCTTTTCGGTTCTACTTATTTGATGAATGTAACAGCCCCGCCTGAAATGGTTTATTTTGTAAATAGGGAAGAACAAAGCTCATCAGTTTGTTGTGTTTCAGTTTTCCTAATTTCTGTTCCCTCTGACTTGTCTGTTTGTGCGACAGAACGGTCTCTGTTGCTTCATAATTTCCCTTTTTGTTCACTGTGACGAGAGTTGACCTCTTGAATAAAACGGTGACGTTTCATTATTTTGGAGAAACAAGGGCGGGTTTGCACATCCTCCTCCTCCTCCGATTCTCTCTCCCTGTTTGGGCTGAACTCCTCTGACTCAAAGGGACTCCTGACAGAACTATCATCTCTGGTTGGTTTATAAACGTGATTTTAAAATGTCCTCCTCTCTGTTTTTACTGTCAAATGCAAAGCTGCCTCCAGAATTTTACGAGCGAGTCCTCTCGGGCCTTAAATGTGAAATATTTGGCCGTTTTTACCGGGTGTTTAGGGGGATAATGTACTTTGACTGACAATATAAATAAAGATTTCTACAAAGTCTGATCAGATGTCATACACAAAATTCACCAGCAGAGGTTGCCAGAGTTTAGTGTAAGCAAATAAAAACCCTGAAAGGAGTTAAAGCTCTGCAAAGAGTTTCCCCAAAGAAGCAGTGCGAGGCTTCACCCTGAGTTTAGCTCTCAGGTAGAACAGCAGAGTTCTAATGAACACAAATGAGGCCTCTACTTTCCCTATATCATTTTAACTTTTAATGCCCTCCAGAGAACATTCTTCACATGCAGTACAGACCCGTAGTCATCCTAGAGGAAGCTTTTCCCTAATTTTTAAAACTATTTTGTAAGTATAGTATTAATTATGATGAATTATATTACTTTAATAAATAATATTTTACACTCAGCTTTCAAATAGTTAAGGAAAGAGATGTTGATTTATATCGCACATTTCAGCAACAAGGCGATCCAAAGTGCTTCATACACGAGAGAGGGAAAAAGAAACATTAAAATATTAAATGAAAAAAATCACTAAAACAAACCATTAACACGTACCCTTAGTCTGTCTACAAACCCCCAAATGATGAGAAAAGTCCATCCTCTCCGTCTTCTGCCTGCTCCACTTTTCATAAAATTTGTGCTCAAACAGGCCATTTGGAGATTTTCCCTTCATGACATCATAAAGAGCAGTAATCCTCCCCAGGTGGGTGACACTCCCACAGCTAGGTGTTTGTTCTGCCCTCTGAGTCTGCCTTCTCACCGTAAACAATAGGACATGGAACGAGAAAGCCAGAGACACCCAAGCCCTTCCAGAGAGGGGGCGTAGTCAGACAGCTCATTTACATATTTAAAGGTACAGACACAGAAACAGCCTGTTCTGGGCAGGGCTGAAATAGAGGGGTTTATAGGGATGATTAAATACAGGATCAGAGTGGATTTAGAACAAGAAACTTCACACACATGTTTTGGGGAGCTCTGAAACGTCTTTAAACTGATTAAAGAGGAGGATAATATGTCGCCTTTAACACATAATTGACATTAAATCATAACGCTAAAGAGCAGCTAGAAGACAAAGTGTTCTGCTTATCGGTGTAAATATACGCAGCTATAAAGGTCAGGAAGGGAGCACTTCATGACCCCAACTGAAGGTGTGTGAGAGCTGAACACGTCCTGACCCTTTGACCCCTCTGTGGCTTTACTCCTCTGTCTATTTAACTGTAACACAAGTGGTTAAGTGTCTCTCTCACACACACACACATACATACATAAACACACATACATACACCCCACACCTTGTGGGTGGAGGTCTGTGGGTGGGAGTTTGTCTGCCTGGGTGGGGCAGGGGATGTCCACAGGAACAAATTCATACTGGTTGGTTTAAAGTGTGGTGACTGCAGACATCTGCCCACCATTGTGTGTGTGTGTGTGTAATAATCCCCCATAATAGAAATTGCATGTGAGCATACTGTATAAAATAATATGTGCTTGTGAATGAGCATGTGTTTGTGTGTGTATGTGTGTGTGTGTGTGTGTATGAGTGTGTGTTTGTCTGTGCATTTATTTGTGTGTGTGTGTGTGTGTGTGTGTGTGTGTGTGTGTGTGTGTGTGTGTGTGCGCACGTGTGTGTGTGTGTGTGTGTGTGGCCGGTCTGTGTGTATAATGAACTCCCACAGAGATAGCAGGGCTGTGGTGGAGGGAGTTTCCTCCCCGCCCACCGCACATCCCGGACTCATTTTCAGAGCGAGCAGAGGAGACGAGACGCTCTGTGATGCCGCTCAGATAAAGACAAAAAAAAAAAACCTCTCACCGTTAAATACTCAAACTGTTATATTCTAATAGGAGCGGGGAGACTCAGTTGTTTTAACACCACAGCAGAACTCAGAGATGAAGTCTGTGCACGAGGGGGATCTGACTTTGAGGGGGTTTCCAGTATTTTACATATTTTGGAATTTAAGTAACATTTAGGTATAAATAGTTTGATTCGTTCTGCAGCCACCAAACCTGTTGTGATCTCTGCAACATCATCATTTGAGGGAACATGCATGTTTTCTAAAGGTTGTTGTTGTGGTCACTGATAGGCTCAGATTGTTGTTTTAAGGGTCTGATAACAATAAGCAAGGACAGGCAAACTTATTTATGTCGTATATTTCAGCAACAAGGTGATTCAAAGTGCTTCACTCAAGACATAAAAAGAGACATTCAAATGAAGGTGTTTCAAAGTTATTAGTAAAAACGATTGAAAATCAGTTAAAAAGAGTGTACTAACTTTAATCAAAGGCAGCTGTAAACAGGTGAGAAGAACTGAGAGTTTCAGCACACCTGCAGTTTTCTGGGAGTTTGTTCAGATATACAGAGTGTAGAGGCGCTGCTTCTCCGTGTTTGGGTCTGACTCTTGGGACAGAAAGTAGACCTGTCCCAGACCACCTCAGAGGCAGTGGTGAGTCTAAGTCTATGGGGGCCCTTGGGAAAAAAATATTTTGGGGCCCTCCAACCAGAGTTTGTCGTCTTCGTCTCGGGCCAGTGTCCCAAAGCTTACTATTCTTCTACTTTTTTTCCCCAGTTTTTTTTATTTCTCTATAGCTCAAGGCTTCTGTTCTGAGGATAAATGCATGGATGAGTTTTTCCAGATCCTGCTGGGACACAAGTCATCTAAGTCTTGATATGTTCTTCACAGGGCCAGATGAACACAACAACTTTCAAATGTGCTCCTCCAGAAATCTGCTGCCCATCAAATTTACCAACACTATAGCCACAGAATCAGAGAAGGGGTTTGCAGTGGTACTGTGTGAAAAAATTGCTCTGTCACCAGCGGAGAGGCTAAAGAAGAGCGAGACATAACTTGATTTTTTTGCCTATGCACTTACTGCCTGGGGCCTCTACAGATCTCGGGCCCCTGGGAAATCGCCCGGTTGCCCTAATGGTTAACCCGGCCTAAGTTCTTCAGATGATGGTAGGCTAATTGTCTTAATGTGGCTTTTAAAATTCAGGTCTGAGTCCACGACTACCCCCAGATTTCCAGAAAAGATCCCTACAGAGAAAGACCATTTTATTTAAGAGAGAGCTGCCTCTTTTTTTATTACCATAAATAAACTGCCAAACTTTCAATCGCATCATATTCAGCCGCTGAACAAATGAGATGTTTAAAGATCGGCTCGGGGCAGATTAGAGTTCACGCTGTAAAATAAACGAGTGTTTGATCGTCTGTGAGATGTGGAGGGTGAGTTATGTCGGGATTTACCGATCAGCCACAAATAAAATCTTTGAACTGAACGTGTAATTACAAATCACAGAGCACACGAGGGCAGCATCGCTTCTTTAATCACACTGCTCCGTAAATCACTTTTTATTACCCTCAACGACGCTCACCAGAGGGCTGAGCAGTTTAAGTCTCTGTGTGTGTGTGTGTGTGTGTGTGTGTGTGTGTGTGTGTGTGTGTGTGAGAGATAGAGAGAGCGAGAGAGTGCGTGTGTGTGTGAGAGAGAGAAAGAGTGTGTGTGTGTGTGAGAGAGAGAGAGAGAGAGAGAGAGAGAGAGAGTGTGTGTGTGTGTGAGAGAGAGAGAAAGAGAGCGAGAGAGTGTGTGTGTGTGAGTGAGAGAGAGAGAGAGTGTGTGTGTGTGTGTGTGTGTGTGTATCTGAGAACGCCTGCTGCACTTGCCAGTTGTTGATGCAGATAAGCGCAGGGATCACACTTGACCCTGAGTGTAATGACTTATAAGCGTAGCTGCAGGGTTCAGAGAGGCCCGAGCTGAAGGAGGGCTAATTGAGCAATCGAGAGTGTGTGTGTGTGTGTGTGTGTGTGTGTGTGTGTGTGTGTGTGTGTGTGTGTGTGTGTGTGTGTGTGTGTGTGTGTGTGTGCGTGGTGGCGCCATTGGCTGTTTTGACCTGCTCTGACTCGGCAGTGTGCTCGGTTAATGGAGCCTGACCTGTTTGTAAAGAGAGCGGCCTTACTGAAGACAAACTCGTGTTTCCTTAACATGATGCAAAATGTGGACAAGATCTTATTATTATAGATTTAAACATTTAAGCTTCCGGTGCGAGGGCAGGGAAATTAAAAGAGAAAGAGGAAGACTGAAATCCTTATTCTGTAATTGGAGGTGAAGCAGATTGTCCTGCGTGTTTCTGCATCGAAATAAACTGATAGAGGGATAAATGAAAGGATCAAAAATCTCACTGACATGATTTTTGCAGATTTAATGATTAAAATGTTTGAAAGATAAATTATAAACTTGAAAACTGCAGGATTTTGAACTTCAGAATTGGCTTCATTTTTTAACCCCCGGAGGTTGCCGCTTGATTACAGTTGTTA